AACCAAAAATGTGAAATTATTGAGATTTAATTTATTTTTGTGTGAGTAGTTCTGAGTGAAACTCCTCTAATGCGTCAGTTAGGGTGGATGGCATGCTTTCAGATCCATGGGTGTGTTTCAGAATGCTCCCTAGTTCAGTAATAAGTACACTGCCCAAAGAATACAGCCATTTCTAGTGCTGGCGCATTGTCAAAATCATTCCTGGGCACTGAAAAAATATGCTACCTTGGACTTTCCAGAATCCTCATGGATTTTAATCTGTCTGTTAAGATGAATGGGATTGCTAACAGGTAGCTTTATCCAGCTTTATCCAGCCTTTATGGCTGCAATGAAGATGCACGACAAAACAAAATAAGGAGGATGTCATTTATACAACAGTGTAGCTTTTAAAAGTATTCAGCAATATTATTGATTTGACTGCACTGACACTATCGGAGAAGAGCAAAACTTGAACTGAATTGAGGTGCTACTGTCTTATGTACAGTTCATATGAAACGACTTCAGTTACTGAATTGAATTAACATTAAACTAAATTAAGCTAAACAATGACAATGTTGTCTTCTGTGGAGATTTTCTTCTAGCTAAATCCTATTTTGTTTTATAATTTGTGAACTTTGCCGTTATTGAGCTGAATTGAATTACAACTGACACTGTAATTGAACTGAATTGAATCAACAACAACTAAATTGAACCGAATTGTGGCATTCGTATTGTCTTCTATGAAGCTGCTTTATATCTGAATCCAATTTGTTTCATAATTGATTAACTTTGCAACACTAGCAGTTATTGAGCTGCATTGAAAACTAAATTGAGCTGAACAAGGAAACTTTTGTCTTGTGTGGAGCTACCTTGCAGCGAAAATTGAAATATTTTTAGAATTGGTTATTTTTGCTATATTTACATTGATATTTTCCTGTTTATTACTGTAAAGCTGCTTTGGAATATGTACCGTTTACAGACAGAATATACTATATATTTGAAAATGACCTGACTTAACAGCTATGCTTTAGTGCAGCATTATCGGGTCGAGATGGACTCATCCTAACATTTAAGGTATCAAGGCCATTGCTTTGCATTGCTAGGCCATATTTGATACACATCATACTGATTTTCAAGTGTAAGCAACAGAGTAGCTGCATTTGCATATTTTCAGTCTGTGCATTTGCCAAGACATTGTCATGATGTCAGTCTGTCCCTGTTGGATAACATCAGCTTGCTTGTTTGCTTGCATAGAAACAGGTTGGTGCAAAGTCGTAAAAAAAAAAAGTTAAACATTAACAGCATTATTCAGCGCAGCATTACCAGTTGGAT